AGCCTGCACACGCACTCGAATGGCGTGTGCCCCTCTCTCTCCTCTCAGTCTTTGACCTTCTCTTATTATCTTAGCCTGCCACTTGTAGCCTGCACGCACGCTCGAATGCTCTCGCTCCACTTTCTTGTGCATAACTTGTTGTGCTGATGTCAACCTCCTCTCCTCCCTTTCACGCGTTGACCTTCTCCCTCTCTCTCTCACGACACCTGTCGAGTGTATTACGCGTCACACGTCCTTGCCTCAGCCTCCTTTTTGCTGACCCTCTCGCCCCGCGTATATCGACCCGCTCGTCTCACACCCGTTTCTTCCCTTTGCTCTGCTTTTCTCCCGTCCCACGGCCTCTTGGCGTCAGTCGTTGAGAGCTGGCCTCGGGTCCCTTTTCCACTGGGTCTGCCGCTCTGTGGTGCTTCTGGATCTCGCCTGGCCTGATCCAGGACCTGAGGTCTGTCCCCTGATCCTCCGCCTCGCTCATCTCACTCTCCCCACTTGAGTCCCGTTCCAGGTGGGCCTGTTCCCAGTCCGCCGTGTCCATCGAGGTCTCGGTCTCATGATACGAGACCGTTACCTGCATTTTCGCCGTCACCCCGTCTCTTCTGCAGCGCCTCTCCACACGGTTTTTCGTCTCCGTGATAGCTTCCTGCAGCCTTCCATCAGTCCGCATCTCCTCCTCTTTTCCTCCCTCCACATTGATCCTCAGTCTCAGCTCGTCACTCCCATCATAATTGAGTATAGCCGTGATCCAGGGCCCCTCCCCAGACATAGGCTTCCATCGAATCTGGTGGTACCAATAGCAAGGTCTATACCCATGCAACGCCATAGCCACCCATAGCCAACGCTTAAAACGTTACTTGCCCGTACCGCACTAGAGGGCATAGGCCAAAACAGGACTCAGAGCGCTGGGAGAATACAGCCTCAACGTTTCCCCTCTATTCGCAGCACGTCAGCCTCACACGCTCACTCAGAAACCCAGAGGCAATCTCCCTTTTGTAACACCCTGTGAGGCCGCGACCCCTGTGCTCTAAAGGGAGTTTGAAGTAAGACTTTAAAATCCAAAATCAATCAGATTTTAAATTCAAACGATTCTTTGACAATTACGTAAAAAAAGAAAAGGATCGCAGAGCAACAGTCGCGGGTCGCGACCTCTTGTGGTTTTTCTTGCGACTGGACCGCAGCTGGCGCGATAATCCCATAACGGGATCCCAACTGGCGCTCTTTCCATTCTAAAACCCGCAGTTGAGCTTATTGTATTCGGGTACCCACTTCCGATGGCAAGGAGGGGGTGTATGACTTCCTATAGGGGGTGATACACCTCCTACCGATGCGGCCGCGGGTCACCCTCCTCTTTTGGGTTCCAGCCGCGCGGCACTCTTCGGACAGCTCAATCAATAAATAGTTCACAAAGGGGCAGACTAAAATAATCCTTCAGCCCGCGGCCACGGTTTGAAATCGAACCGTTGGAGCAATGACATGACAAGCACGGAAATCCCAACAGAGTCCAATAATATAAATAATAAAACTAGTAACAGTAATAATAATAATAATTACTTACAAGAATAGTAGGAAAACGAAAACTACAGCGTCGCACTGAAACCAAAGCCCTAAGGCAAACRGACCCGACGTTTGGCTCTCTCACATTCTATTTCTCTTTTTACATCTTCTTTACAGCTGAGCTGCGAGCACCTAACCCATAACTTGGCTTAGGGGGTTTCAGCGCGCGACAGAAAAGACCGCGCCAGTCCTTTCGCTTCCGCGTCCCAGGGCAAGCCTTGCGGCTACCACGGCCACAGGCCGGTAATGCTCTGCTGTACAGCAGGGCGCCGAGCCTGCGTGGACCAACGGAAGCCCTGTGGCGCACCCCTTTTGCCAAGTGCGAGTGCTAAGACAGGGTTGGTCCAAACCGAGGCACCACTTGGATATATCAGTATAGTAACGGGTTCGATGATAGTTTAACAAGGCACAGCAACAGAGCAAGGGACTAGAACCAGGTAGGGACTTGGTGCACAGAGGAGGGCCGGGATACCGCGCCCTCCGACAGCGGGCCCGCGGGCAAAAGCGCCAGCAGGGGGTGGGGGTCGGAGGTCGACGCGCGGACCCGCGAGAAAAAGAAGAGGCGCGGGCAAAAGTGTGAGCAGGGGGGGGTCGGAGGCCGACGCGCGGACCCGTGGGAAAAGAGGTGCCACCAGGGGGCGGCGGGTGGGGAACTGGCCACGGACGGGAGGCGGCGCGCACGGGTAGAGGTGGACGGGGCGCTTTGCGGGGAACTAGCTACGGACGGGAGGCGGCCAACGACGGTGCGCACGAGCGGGACGTGACACGCGTGTCCATGCACAGCCATGGCGGGGAACTGGGCACGGACGGGAGGCGGTGCGCTCTTTTTCTCCGTCGCAGCGGGCAGAGATCACGGCGATCTTCTTTGTGTCGCGCACGTTTCTTTCGTCGGAGATCTAATGCACATTCCCTTTTTGTTAGAGAGAGAGAAGGTGCCAAAGATGTTGGGCTACACAGAGAGAGAGAGAGAGAGAGAGAGAGAGAGAGAGAGAGAGAGAGAGAGAGAGAGAGAGAGAGAGAGAGAGAGAGAGAGAGAGAGAGAG